GAACTCTGAAAAGTGAGGGCCTTAAGGTAACAATTTTTTCAACCGACCAGGTTCTGAACTCCAATATCTGCGGATGTGGACTTCAGGACAGTTACCTCCACCAAACATTTCAATGTCCACTCCTTAGGAATGTTCGGGAGGGCTTCACACTATTCAGACAAGACACAAATTTCTTTGATATACTTCACAATTGGGATTATAGCAAAATCACTCAACTATCAAACTTTCTGAAAAAAGCGGAAGTAAAATTCTAAATTCAAAAATTAAATAATAAAAGAGAAATATATTTAAAAATAAAGTTTATCCGCGGTACAATACCGCCCACCTCGTTCCTGTCCTGGAAAAACAAAATCATCGCAATACTGTAAAAGTATTATTCAATCGCGTGCCATGAATTAAACCGATAACACACTAAGTCCATTAGTGTGACCATACGATCGGAAAACATCAATCTGCACATATCGAGGCGACTTCGATAGTTGCGTACCAGTTTTTACAGCTACGCGATCGTGTAGCTCAAAGAGACCAAATACAGAATCAGAGGAAATAACCTGGCGTTTGGGGAACTCAGCTTCCTGCCAATACTACTCAAATCCCCCCAAAAAAAAAACAATTGCAAAAAGAGAAACAAGCCAAGCCAAGTGGAAGCGATCAGCGATTGTGAAAGATATTCATGCTCACTAACAAGTGAGAGCAAGTTTGAGTGAACAATGGGGTGATTCATGAGCATGTGAGCATATTCATAAGGTGAGCTATTCACTGCCGAACTCTAAAGGAATTATAAAAGGATTAAAAGAAGACTGAAGATAATTGTCTACCTATAATTACCCTGCAAAAATCGTTGGACCATGTAGTCTATTTGTGATAAATTGGAGTACTTACAAAAGTGTTCCTCTGTCATGCTGTAGCGGACCAACTCGTGTCTTTGCGCCAGCTTATTGTTTGTTTTCCGATAACTGTTCGTGTTTTAACGAAATGTGATTGAAGTTGAGCATTTGAAAGCACATTTGCATGTCTGGCTGTAGCTGAACGTGTAGAGATGCTCGCTGTTAGTTCTTAGCTCCCAGCATGTTCGGGTTCGAATGCCGTCAGAGGCAACATGTAATTTTTAATTTTTGTCTTGGTTTTTATTAATTTCGAAAAAGCATTTGAGAAGTGAAGAACAAAAGCGTGTACAAACGAAAAAATATAACAACAATGCCATTGGAGTAGTTTTGTGCTACTCTGATGTAATGCAGGGATGGAGTATATGGTCCTGCCCTAGGACATCGCAATGTTAATTGGACCATATTTTTTATGTGAATTGTGGTTAATTTTGGAGTACTCCTTGGTCCTTAGGGAGTACTCTTTACATGCATGCATGGAGTAGTCGCGATTTTTGCAGGGTACATACCGAAGTGGTCAAAAGGCTTAGCTGAGGTGAAAATGCTTCAGTTTAAGATAGAATTTACCACCCCTATTCTGCAACACTTTCGTATTCGGATTTTGCTACGAATCGTAGAAGTGGTATGCTGCAATCCGAATCGTATCTTCGAACTTTCGAAATTCGTAACAATGCCATGTTTAAAAACGAACTAGTAAGAAATTGACAGCTATTTTGCGTAATTTTGTACGAAAACAATTCTGTGTCGGAAGCGAGATAAAACTTAAGCAAACAGATGTAAATCGATGTGTGTTTGCAGGAAATATTAGTGGTGCTCCTTTAAACAGATAAATTTGCCTTTCACATATACATATATTTTTATCCACTGCTTTATATAAACGAACAAAAAATAATATTTGTTGCCCATTATCGAGAAATTTAAGTACGGTTTAGTTATTTGTACAATGATTTTGGATTGTTATATCCAAGCGCATCACCCTAAACTTTAACCTAAAAACTTTAACGTTCGCGTGTAGGCAAAGGATTAAACTTTAATTTAAAACAAAGGTTCCAAATTTCCGAACTCCAGTTTTTTAATAAATTCGGTTTGAACCATGCACTTTTTTTTTGTCAATTTCGATATGGGGTATTCGCAAAGATACAGCGGATGGCGTAGCCAGTGTTATATGCACAAAAAATGTTGTATGCGTATCACAGTAGAAGAGGGGCTTCTACCCTCTTCTCCGGCAACACAGAAAAGAGAATCCTCATTAGGAAGGCTTATAATCTCTAAGCGGGCCAAGGCAGAAGCAAGCGCAACCAGGTGGTGTGGACCTAACAAAATGATTATTTTCAATGGCTTGGAAGAAGCTGTTATTGCATTAACTGAATTGAGAAACAGTCAGAGGAGTCATAGCTTGTGGCTCAACAATTCAACCAGAAGCTGGCATAAATGCGTCCATGGTTACTATACCCGACAGCTCCGCATCCATCCATGAATCCATTGCCATAGCGCGCTCTTACTCCGCTGCTATAATTGCAAACGCATCAGAATCCATAATTTTTCTCAAAATATGTAAAATCAACCAATTTTTCTATAAACAGGCACATGATGAGTGTTTTTTTAATTCCTTTCCACTTAGTTTTCCTTCATACAGCTGTCTTCGAAAAACAACTGATAGCTGGCAATGCTGCACAGTTTTCCGCAAGGTTTGCAGCATGTCGATTTTTTACGAGCTTTTATTTAACTTGGTCATCCCGCGGAAATTTCCAATTGATTTTAAACTAACTTCCCGACCTAGAGACTTGAAATTTTCAGCATAGTTCCAATCACGATAACAATGGAATATAAAATATAAACTAATTCCCTAGATGGTCCAGGGGTCTTGATACAAAGGCGGTCAAAACACAGTAAAATTTATGGCTAACGGAGCGTAGTTTGTCAAAGAACGAAAAACGCTATATAAATTTGTTAAATAATAAGTATAGTTTTGGCGCTAGTAAGAGAAATACCGGAAATTAGCTTTAAGATGACCAAACTGTTAAATTCTAGGCACTTCTGTTAAGAATTGCATTATTTGGTTTCCTCACACAGGGAGTTATGGAAATACAGAGATACGATAAAAGGCACGCAAAATGCACATGCGTGCATCTAAAAAGTGTACATACTTCTAATATCCCGCAGGCGAAAAAATTTCAGTTAGCACGATGTGCTGTTAAGGCGATGCGGATAATGCTACATAGTCGTGTGCCATGGGATGTTAAAGGTAAATGGAAAATAATTGTCTATAATTAACATACCGAAGTGGTCAAAAGGATTAGGTTAGGTGAAAATGCTACAGTTTAAGATATAATTTACATTTAAAGAACTTTTCTTTTTAAAGCAACAAGATAAAATCTTTATAGGAGCTGTTTGTTCATAGAGCGCTACTGCTATGCATATAACTACGGTGACCATCCGTCCTGTATTATTCGGGACAGTCCTCTTTTTTGACCCATTGTCCTGGTAATTTATTTATTTGATACGGGACGCCAAATGTCCTGTATTTCTTTTAATGTCTTGTATTTGTCCCGTATTCGGTGTTTCGACTAGAGTCCACCGATTAATCAGCCGATGCCGAGGTAGGGTTGCCAAATTTTTTATGCGCGAAATCAGTACGCTAGACTTTTTCGTTCCAAAAAAATCAGTACTTTTCAGTACATATTTATTCACAGCCAAATTATGAATGTAAGTAACAAAAAAATACTTTAAAACGCCAGAGCGTTTGTATTTAACAATATTTTGGTGTATAAATAAAATATAGTTCATAAAAAATAAAAGTGTTGTTCATTTTAACATAAGTGTACACATCATTATACACAGGAGCCAATAAATTATTTTATATTTGAGACATTTTTGAATAGCTATAATGAGGCAATTCCCATTTTCAGTGTTTAAATAGTCAAAGAATTCCATACATTTCATTAAAATTACTTTTAATTTGAAGTTCACTTTCAAAAATTTTAATTAGAAGCCGGTTTCTCTCTTTGCGCCAGGAAACAAACTTTATTCTTAAGATCCTCTCAGTTGCTTCGTTTGAGTGTGGTATTGAAAAAAAAGCAAAATTAAATATTTTTTCATACTGTGAAAAAGTACCAATTTTTAAGGACTTCATTTATATTTCCTCATGGCTTAAATAATTTTTCAACTATGCAAAAACTGTGAAAGACTAATAGTTCGCTAAAAATAGTATCTAACTCTATTTCTTGTATGCAAAACTCTTTTACAATGTCAGTAAATTGAGAAAAAGAAGTTGTAAGTTAGAGGCAAAAGCCATTCGAATATTCAAATGTATTGTCATTAAACTGGAAGTCATTCTCGAGATAACTAACAACACTTGAAAAAAATTTCAGCCTTCTTTTTAAATAATTTAAGCTTCATCATATTATCGCAACTGGCACGTAACGACCCGGCGATATGCCCATAAAACGATTGATCTTTTGTTGTATTAATTTCTTGGGCATATCAAACATTATCTAAAACATGTCAACTATAATTAAATTATTTTCTTCTTATTTTTTACAGTACAGTTTAAGGAAGTTCCAACGTTATGTAAAAACCTTAAGAAAATGCTAAAGTATTTCGTTCTAATTGAAAATTCAGTACAAATCAGTACAAATTTTGAAAAATCAGTACATTAGCGTACTGATTGAAGAAATGAATAAAATCAGTATAAGAGTTGAAAAATCAGTCCTGTACTGATAAAATCAGTACGTCTGGCAACCATATGCCGAGGCTAGTATCGGCCAAAATATCGGCATCGGCCGTTTTTGGCCGATTCTTGAATGACGTAATGTTATTTAGTTATTTGATGATGTTTTTCTTTTGTTAGTTGCGATCCCGTACGAGTCCGGACTAGTCAGAAATAGTCAGAATCAGTCAGATTTTACTGGAAATCGATCCCGTACTCTGTTCTCTGAATACTGAGAGGACAAAAAGTAAATACGGTTCTCTCTCTGTCAGAAGTTACCAGTTTTAGTCCGAGAATTTTTTGCTTGTAAATTCTGGTAAATGTGTCAAACGATCAGTTGTAGTGTGTCTGGCAACCAAATTGTAAACAAAAGAAAAGTGCACTCTGCTAATTCATGTTGAAAAGTATTTAATTACTTGTTTAAGTGGATTCTAATGAATTTGAAAGTGTTTTTGGTTATTTATATGTGTGAGCTGAGTGCGTTTACATACAAAATAAGCAAAAATTTACAACCAAAATTTGGAGGTTAGGTTGAAGTTGACAGAAGTTACCATTTTTTACTAGAAAGCGATCCCGTACTTTTCAATGTTACTCTCTCGCTCTGAGTGAATTTTTATTTTTTGACAGTTTTACTAGTCCGAGTCCGAGGAATACGGGATTGCACCTGTTATTATAAAAGTTTATAAAAGCATTTGAATGCCTGTGATTCGAATCGAGAAATAAATACAGGACTCGACATTTTAGTAAGTTTTGGCTACTTTCCCTTA